GGCGAACATCTTTAAAAAAGCCCTACCTGAAGTAACATTCAATCGGAATTTATAAGGGCTAAGCATGATTGAAGCGGACTCAGTTCCGAAATCCCCTTCGTAATCAGAATTTATTGTTCATGTTCCGAAATGTTCCGAGCTTCGGAATGCTTCGGAATTCATTTTTCAAATTCTGATCGGTTCCGAGCTTCGGAATGGTTCAGAATCTACTGTTGATCAGAGTTTCAAAATTCTCTGTACCCTTTGTACATTAAGTTGCTTCCAATTAGTTCCGAGCTTCGGAATGATTCGGAAGTTACCATTCATTTGTGTTTCTGGATTGATTAATCTTTAATTTTTTCTTTATTTCTCACAAGACCTCGATCTCCAAATCCTATTTTTGCATACTTTTAGGGTTTGCTTCATCTGAAGGACTCGTGGATCCAGAATCGATTTCAACTTCTGCTCTCATCGATATGTTTTACCAGATGGGATACAATGAAGATATTTCATTATTGTCAAATTTCAGGAAGCCCTTTCTTCCTCCAATATGGAATGGGCTGTTCACTCTTCTGTTCAAGAGCTTCTCAAAAAGAGTTGCAGGCTCTAACAGTGCAAGCAAGCTATTCTATACTATTCTCTATGGCCTCTACCATGGAGTAACTCTTGATTTTGGTTCTATCTTCTAGACTCAGTTGATCCAAAGCACAGTCTCCACCACCCGTCACACTGAGATCTCATGTGCTTGTTTTTAGTCTATTGTGGTCAAACGAGCCCTAAGCCACTTCAAGGTTCCACAATTGGATGATTCGATAATTGTTTCCATTCCAATTCTGCAAACATCAATTTATGATCTCCGATCCGAGCAAGTTCAACTTTGTTGGTTCTATTCTAGAATCCATGCTAGTAAAAGTTCCCACAAACAATATGATAGTGAATGAATACCACAAGTTACCTACATCTGGTGTTCACCCTATGACAAATGAATTGCGAATGGTCATGGAGGAAGGTAACAAACCAAAGAGGAGAGGAAAGAGAAAAGTGAAAGTTGTTCCTTCTAAAGTAGTGAAAACTCCAAAGAAGGTCAAGAAGCATGCTAGGAAACCGAGATCTCTATCTTTGGTTGCTCTGGAGGATGCGGAATCCTAAATGATTTCAGAAATTCGAGGGAATGCCACAGTTCAAAATGAAGTTTAGGATATTGTTCCAACTTCAGAACGCGTCCCTACCGATTCAATTCCGAAGGTATCCACTCCAATTCCTTCTTATGTTACTTTTTCAGAAAACTTTCTAATTCCCACTCCATCATCCTCTCCTATCACCATAATTATTCCGATCACTTCCATCCCTCCATTACCACCAAATTTTTCTGTTGGAATCTCACTTCCTCAAATCTCTATTCCCTTAACCTCCACCATCTTGTTTGAATCTACCCCTCCACCAGAAATCATTGTGTCACACTTGACAAAATTAGATTAAGATGTAAACACCTTTATTAGGTCATAATGGGCCCAAAACTCCATCTCGGCATTTTTTTAGGGCTAAAGCACTCTTAATGGACCGAACCCTTCTTATTAGGCCCTAGTGGGCCAATAAGCCCTCAACTTAGTTCATTGAGCCATAAGACATTCTTATTGGGCCTTTTGGGCTGATAACACATACTAAGACTTCTTTAGTTGGGCCAAAAACTAATATTGTTAGGCCCTTTGAAACCAAAACCCAGTTGTTAAATTTTGATGGGCCGAAAAAACACTTTTGGGCCATACCAAAAATCGGATTTGATCTTTTGGGCTAGCCTTGGGCCAAGTGTCTCTCCAAACTAGGTTAGCCCATTATGAAAAAAAGGATTATTCCAATACTTGACACCTCACTAAAATATGTTGTGTATCTATGCAAAAATCCCCCATACATCTAGGTTCAAGATATTAAACTTTCATGTAATAACCACTAAACTAATCCTCCCTATTCCCCTACCTTAAACTCTCGTCTACAACATATCACACACACTCACAAAAATCAATTTCCAATTTACTCTCCAAACACTCTCAAATCCTCCCATTCTCCTTCAAAATTTTTCAAGATCATCTTCAAGGGAGGAGCCATCTTCAAGAATCTTTCTTCAAAACTCACAAACTAGGTAAGATCTTTATGAAACTCAAGGTGTTTCATGTTTGTTCTTAAGATCACTCCATTCACCCACCATTTTCGTGTGTATGACTCTTATAACTCCATCCAATGTCAAGTGACCTTCAAAACTACACCAAGCTAGGTTCAAAGTTTCATCTTCTTCTTCATCAACATCACAAAAACTTCAAGGTGAGTGTATACCCCTTGTTTTCGGTTTTATAATGTTTTTGGGGGAGAATACAAGTGCTTTTGTGTTAGATCTATGTATATATGCATGTTTATGTGTTTAACTTTTAGATCTTTACTTGAAAATGAAGTTTATCACTTGGATCTTCATATAAAACTTGCGAAAAGTATGTTTCATCACATATAATACATGTAAAATTGTGGATATGGGATTTATCCACTTAAAATAGCAAAAACAAGTGTTGTGAAGAAACTTAGATAACTTAAACTCAAAAGTCAACCCTTAACAGAAAAGTTTTAGTCCAATCTCGAACTGTTTTGACCTCCTTAATGGTAATATTTTTCAAAACTATTTTACATTCAAATAGTTCAAGTTATTACCTTCAAAATGACTACACTCACGTTTTCATACGATTTTTCTACTATTTTTGGCGAATTTTACAAAACTGCGTATCAGATTTGAAATAAGTTCGGACCAACCTGTGAAGGTGAGCAATTTCACACTTGTTAGAGGCCAATAAAAATTATGAGAAAATTGTGAACAAAGTAGACAAAATTTCCAAACTTCCAGAATTTACGGATCCAAATTTCGACTTACGATGATTTTTCTACAAATTTTCCAACGACTAGGTCAGAAAAACCAAAAACCAGAAAAATATGTATTTCAAAAAAATCAAGCCAATGATATTTTTAACAAAAATGAGTTTAAAATGTTATTTTTACCACAAACTAGTCAAAAACACAAGTTTTGAACAAAATGGGGAGTAAAGTGTTATTTTTACTATGTTTGGTCCTTAATTGAAAATTTGTGGTTTATTGGGCCAAGAACGTCATTTTTACAGAAAGTGTGCTTTTTATATCAATTGTATAAATAATCGAGCTAAAATAAACAAAACAATAACAAACGGGTTAAAAATGATGTTCTTATCCTTATTGGACCTGGAAATAATATACATGTTTAGTGGGTCTTAGTGTCCTTTACATGTATATTGGGCTCAGGATAGACATTCATATTCCATTTGAGCCTAGAAATAATAGACACGTATAATGGGCCTTAGTGGTCCACTTACATGTTTATTGGGCATGGGGATGAGTTTTATATGTGTTCTTCTTTATTTCCCGTGTAAATTTTCGATTAAGGATCTAGTGAGACTTGTCGGTTGGCATCTTTGAGTGTACAATCGTAGTCTGTAGTTATAACTAGAGTTTCTTGGAGGGAAAATGGATGTTTGTGTATAGATCTATACGGGGGTGACACCCCACACCTGAGCTGTTCGCTACAATTAGACTAGGCCAGTCTACGGTGACAAAAACCTTATCCTATTTCGTCGGCATCCCAAAGACGCAAAGACAGACGAAATTGTCATTATTTAGTAGGGTTATAACGAATCACTTAGAGGAATTAACGTTATAATATTTACGAGAAACCATTCTATTTTCTTTTTGGATAAAACAAGAAACTTTCTTCTTGATAAAACGGTAATCTATACGCATTGGTACTCAACCACGGGGGTTGAGATTCCAGCATCATCTAACGCAGACAACATCGGGTTGTCTGGAAATCATTCTCTTTCTATTTTTGTAAACTTTAACACACATGCATTAATATAAGATCGGATACAAATATTTCAAACCAATTCTTATTAGAAAATATCAGATTTTTGAAAGCACTATGAAAACGATTCTAAACAAGTACAAAAACCATTTTTATTCAAAATTGCTTATGAACTCACCAACTTTTTAGTTGACGCTTTTCAAAACGACATGTATTCTCAGGAATTCTAGTAGCAGGTAATAAGCTCGACTATGAGGTCAAGTGGTGCAACTTCAAGAAATTTTACTTTCTTACTTTTGTGTAACTGATGAACAAATCCCATATGTAAACTATGTAAGCGTGTATCTTCAATGTATGATGTTTGGTTGCTATGTTTCATTCATATTCAATTATTATGATACTATACACGAAGTCGTCCTCCTGCGGACATTTCCGCCGTCCAGGTTCAGGGGTGTGACACACTTTTACTAAGTCTATTATGTAGGAGGTATATACTTCCAGCATTTATGTCAATGTATCTGATACGGTGGCAAATGTCGATTTTGGTGTAACTATGGGTCCAGGCACCTTTACAGCTTCTCCATTACATGATGAGGATCCATACATCCTTTTTTGTGATGATCCAAGGTCTTTCATCGATTTCGTTTTTAGCCCCTTCACTGTTAATGTCATCAGTGAGGATGATGATGCCCCTATGACGAAAGGGCGGTTCAAGCTACTAAATGAAAAATTGGATTCACTCTTAGAGTCTTCCAAATCTTCATCATCATCTTCACCCAATTGGGAGTATCTGTTAACAACCTACATGGCTACAGTGGAGATGATTACCAAGGAAAATGCCATTGGCCTTGAAGCATCGTCCAAGGAAATTAAAGAGTCCGAACAGACAATTTCAGAAGTGACCGCGAAAGTCAAAATACTACATGAAAAGGTAACTAAGTTTATGGTTGAGTTCAGAACCTCCTCCGAATCAAATATCGAAGCCATGAACAAAGTCACGTAGGATTTCGTTCATCTTTACAAGCTGAGAAGGAGGCTCTCTCACTTGTCCTTTCCGAAATAAAACCTGACAACGCTGAACTCAATGCCTCCATCATCTCAAAAATAGAAAATCTTCAATCAGAGCTTGCGACTAAAAAACATCAAGTATCAAATGGTAGAAAAGACACAAAAGGCCAGGGTTCTTTCAGTAAAGTTGCAGTATAATCATAAGCGTGTTGATGACTTGGAATCTGAGAAGACAGTCGTCAAAAGTTGTGATTCTGAAATTAATCAGTATCTGCAACGTCTTTTCGAGACTCATGATTCCATATTCATAATCTCTGTTAGACAACATCTTTCGGATAAACTTCAACCAGTGTTTTCCATGTTAAATGAAATAGAATGTGTTTCAGGAAGTGGTGCTCTTACGAAACAAGGGGGAAAAGGTAAAGGAGAAACCCAAGCAAAGCAAACCGCTGGTGAACAAGAACAAGAACAAAAACCAAAGGCAAATGATCAGAATGGTAATGAAGCTTCTGCATCAAACAAGGGAAAAGAGAAACTTGTTGATAAAGAAGAAGAAGAGTTTTCAGAAACCGAGAATCTCATTCGGAAAAAGAGAGATAAAGAGTTGAACAATCTTCTAAAAATTTGTAAGGAGTTGGAAGCACAAGAAGCAGAGGCCAAAATTGCAAAAGTGATGCTTGAAAATCTGAAGTCACTCTTTCCTTCTTGGTCAATTAAAAGAATTCAGAAGGAAGCTATTAATAATCCAAGTGTTTATTGGCTGCTTACAATATCTTTTGAGCTGAATAACGAAGTAGATTCACAATTTGATTTTCCAATAACACCAAGAGCTTTTCGGTTTTGGTGTTTTGAGAAAATAGAGAAGGCTCTGATTCCTAACAATGAGGTGAGTCTGAAACTCTTCAACTTCTACTTGAAGTATGCCAAGCCTCAGTATCAGTCTTGGAGCTTGAAGAGGATTATGGGGTTGAAGGTTTACTCAGCTATGCCTATAAAAGATTTTATGAACATAAGGCTCAAGGGATTTGTAGGAGTCGATAGAGTATTGGATGAATTCACTTTGGCAGACCTACCGTTTATGAATCCATACCACTGGATCTCTTTTTTCAACATTGTTGTGAAAGATGAGAAGAAATACGAGCCCATTATTGCCCATCTAAGAAGAATGCTTATTTGCTATATCCTAGTGATTGCAAAGATGGATACAAAGATAGCCTTGGTTTTGCAGAAAATACCCACTATGAAACCCGAAGAGGAGCCTAGGAATTTTTAGAAGCTTAGGCTGGGAGTTATTTAGAAAGAACACTGGAGTGTTACTTATAACTAAAAGGTTGGTAATGTAGTTCAGAAGAGTATGTTCTTTCTGAGAGACAAACATCTTTACCCAACTACAACTCTGAAGAGTATTCTCTCCATGGTTAAAAGCTACAAAGCGAACTCAACTGCGGATTTGAAAAGCTTCTTAGATATGATCAAATGTATCTAAGTGTCTGAAACGTTCTTCTGAATTTAATGCACAAAATTTTCAACATACAGAGAAGGCAACAATGAATTTGACAAAAAGGGGGAGATTGTTGGTTTATTCGTGTTGTGTCAGATATGTCTTATATAGGTTTATTTATTCCGAGATGGGCATGTCCATTCTCGTTTTGGTCTTTATATAGTGCATGCATGTAATATTAGGGTTAATGCTTTTTACACTTTAGCAACCCTAACAGTTGCATGTACACTCTTACAGAGAAGTTCCTTAGAACTCTTATAGAGTTGTTTAATCAAAGCATTTGACGCACATTTGATCTTTATTGTTTTTGTCTTTAACTTACTCCATTATTATAGAATCTTTCGATCTTATTTATTATTCCTATAATACAATAGAAATGGTGCACAAACTCTGGATCTACAAGCTCCTTCTTCTCCTTTGCTTCTTCCCAAACTTCCTTCTTCTTCAAAACCACCAAAGAACACCCAAACACTCAAGGTAAGCTCAAAAATGCACTCAAGAAGGCTATGGTTTGAGATTGGCACTAAAAGAGCAATGAATGTTGAAAGGGTAATGGACTTGAGGAAGTTAAGGACTTTAAATAGGGTGCAAACCCTAAAATTTAGGGTTTTCCCTTGACTCGAGTACGCCCAGCAGCCGAGATCAGCCTCGATGGGGCGCATGCACAGAGTACGTCGTGCATACCTAATGTACACCCAGCTTACTCACGAGCCCATTCCCCCTTATTGGTCTAATTAAATAGGATAATAGGTTAAATCCATACCTGACGACTTGGGCACTACAAAATTCATGACTAATTTTATCCTTTAGTGGACGTAGCGCATTTGGCCGTTGACCGTTTTCTTTGACTAGTTGACCGTTGACTTTTTTAGCAGTTTTACTTTTTGTCAAACTTTGATGGATTTCAGCTTTAGACATAGGATAGACCTCTGTTTGGTTATATGTGATCTCTACATCTAGGTGTGCTATTGTGATATTGTAGTTGTTTGCACCAGTTGATTTTTCTCACTATGTTGGGTCTAAAAATATGGTTTATACTTTGCTGTTCTAGGCTTTTATAGCATTTTTCTAGAACCAAAAACAATCTAGTGTTTTTGGTTGAGGTGGTGTTTTCAGTTGGAGTGTTTGCCGCTATGAGGGTGTTCACGATCGTGAACGTGTATACGGGCGTGAACGTGTTTGCGACTCATGTTTCCTATATATATATAGTGTTAGTGGAGTCATAAGAGTGTACGGCTCGAGGAGGGGGATAAGTGTGTGAAAATCAAGGTGTCCTAGAGAGAGAAAGTGAGAGAGAAGAAGAGTGTATGTGAGAGAATCTTGTATTGGAGCATCAATCTAATCAAATAATCATAGATTCATCTTCATCTTTTTCTCCTTCTTTTTCATTTTGATCTTGCATCATCCAACTGATTGGGATTCGGCACCATCAATTGGATCTGATTGATACATCAAGCAAATTTGGGACATACAATTGGTATCAGAGCTTGGATTATATCAATCATATTGGCAAGATCTGGAGCATTTTTGCTCTTTTTCTTGAAGGATTTTGCATTTTTGGATAGTTTTTGACAAAATAGTGGGGGTTTGTTCTTTGTGTTTTTTCATAAAAACGAGTTTTTTAAACGAGTTTTTGAGAAAAAAATGGTGAAAAATGATGTTTTCTTTTTTGTAATTTGTGAAGAAGGGTTTATTTTTGAAAAAGGGTTTACTGCCCGAAGAACCGTTTATGGCCCAACTCGTTTGCGCCCTCGGACAGTTCACGACCCAGCACGTGTTCAGCCTCTTTCTTGTTCAGCAACCTCTTTTCATCAGAAACAAATATTCAAAAAATTCAGGAGGTAGATGGTTGTCCTCATAAGGAGTTCTTCAGCAGCTGATGGCAGAGAAGTGAGAGAACCTAGGAAGAGCTAAGGGGGTATCCTTCGTCAGTTAAGTACGCTGATAGAGGAGAGTATTCGCTGGGGAGCGACCGGGTTTAACGAGAATGGTGATCGAGAAGGTTGAGCAGCTACTTAGGAACTCTGGGATGGATTGTGTGGAAAGTATGGGTAGATGTGGTAGGTAATATGGGTCCGTACTACTGAAAGTAGAGGACTTATACTCAATACAGGGAGCATACCAAAGGTTTTGAGTAGCAGATTTAAAGGTGATCACATGGTTCGAGTACCATGATTCATGGCGGTTAGTGTTTCAAGTTCGCTAGTTATTTCCATTGTGATTAACCAGGCTGAGATCAGATGTGATAGAGTGTGGGGTTAGAGGGCCATGTTGAGCAATTTTTAATGGTATATACCCTGAAAGGGGAAATCGAGTTCGTTTCCGAAGGATTTTATTGGTGAGATGTTAGTTGGAGTCGCAATACTCAGGGATGAGTAGAGATGATGCTTATTGGAGGATCGAGGTCTGAGACGAGCCATCGACTGATGGATGAGACGCCACCTTCTGTGGAAAGAGTTGCATTGTTTCCGTTTCAGGGAGAAGAGAAGGAGATATCGAGTTTCAGGTTTCAAAGTTTGGCGTTAAACCCCATGGGGTAGCATTGGTTGTGACATTTTCATCAAAGTATGTGGGAAGTTTGTCTGTTGTGAGGTAATTCTGGTACCATGGAGTCATTGGTGGAGGCTAAGATGGAAGAGACCCAAGAAGGTGCCTTTATGAGTGTGACATGCTTTTAACAACAATTTCAAGTGGTTAAGAGGAACATATCGGGGCAGTGGCTCTCGTTGTTATGTTGTGTATCAATTATGAGAGTGAGGTCTCATGCTTTGATGATGATCCTCATGTTGGGAGGCTGGTTGAGGAATCAGAGATAAGGTGTGTGATAGTGCATTATTTTCGGACTGCGGATCAAGGTTATTTCATAATAGTTGAGGTATTCGGCAGTGTGTTAGTCTGAGCTTTCGAGATAACCTGAGGCAGTCAAGTTGGAAGGATTCTGAGGTTCTTGTCTGAATTACGTGATATTTGGAGTCCCTTGGTTTCCATCGGGAGGATCATTAAGTGGTTGTGTGGTACGTTCCAAGAGTCAAGTGTGATGTACCTGGTGATGGTTCGAACCCTAAGTGGGGGAGAACTGGGTATTCAATTAAGAAGATCAACAATTCGTCCAAGTGCAACTGATTATGGAAATCTACGATGCATACACATGAAACCTGGGATATTGGTGGATGCGGTATGTACGAGGCAAGATGATGTATGAGTATATGCTTAAGGAAAGATGATTGAATCCATGGCAGGTGGCCGTTGGTTAGGGAACTTATTATGGCTAGAGATTTTTCGGGTTTGCAATTGTTGAGTTCGAAGCGGATGAGTCACTAAGTTCAGGGTGCAATAGCTGAGATTTGCAGGTATGGGTATAAATTGTGATCTATACTCTAGAAGAGGGCAGCAGTTGGTTTGTCGACCAATTTTAGAGTCGGTATGAGTGGTTCATATGGGCGGTGATCAGTAGAGGGTGGAGCTTCAGATTCTTGCCAACGGGTATTCAATCGTTGACGATTCCTCCGTGTTCAATTTGGGAAATGGGAGTATTTTGAGGTTTCGAGTTGTGTAAGCGGAAGACCAATTTTAAAGGTAAGACCACGTGAGACGTTGTGATGATGTACCGAGGCACCCATGTATGATGTCCTAATTTCTTGGGTTGTGTTAAGACTCGAGTTGTGAGATGGCGAGTGGGGTACCTAGTGGTCTTGTTCCAATGAGGACCCATCAGCTAATTATCACCGGAGTAAGACTATCTAAGGGCGTATCTGTGTTGAGGCTAGTGCCTTGCCTGCGAGAACTTGCATCAGGAGTGGTGATGCGTAAGCTGGGTGGGTGTAAACACCTATCTATGTGGAACTACAGAGCTTGAGTTGGTGAACTCAGTTTGGTGCTGACTTGAGGATGAGATTATAATTCTCTTGGGATTATCAGGAGAAACCATGGAGTGAGCCCATGGTGAGTCAGGGAGCGAGAGAGTTTTGTAAGACTACGGGGAGTCGTAGCCTCCATGAGTTAGTGGAAGGGAGTGTCGTGATACTACGGGGAGCCGAAGTATTCACCGAATAGTGGGTAAGGGTTGTGATACTGCGGGGAGACGTGGTATTCAGTAGTTAGTGAGAGAGTGTCGTGATGCTGCGGGGAGCCGTAGTATTCGTTGGATAGAGAGAGTGTGTTGTGATACTATGGGGAGCCATAGCATTCACAAGTCAGTAAGAGAGAGTAACGCAAGACTACGGGAGAGGCCGTAGCACCCGGTAATCGATAAGGGTGAATATTGTTCTGCCGGGAGCGGTAGTATTCACTAGTCAGAGTATGGCACAGAGAAATTCTTATGCTTGGGTAGCCTTACCACTTAAGTCTTCGGGAGCCTAGCTGCCAAACCAGGGGAAAGACGGGAGTCTTCGTGTTGGTTGGGAATCGTTGTGTCCCTGGGATGAGGAGGGATTATCGTAATCGAAAGGAATTAGAGAGATGGTGTGTGCTTAAATTCGCGAATCTTGGGTCACGAGTTGAGTACCATATTAGAATTGAGTGGTTCCAATTCTGTTGTTGAATCAGACTCTTGAGTTTGAGTTTGGATTCGTTCATGTGTTGAGTAGATGAGATGAGGTATCAGATTCGTAGATGGGTTCAAGTTGAGGGTATTGTTCTTCATCAGATGTCTTAGTCCAGAGTGAGTTAGTTTCATCGGTAGGGGAAAAACCACGAGACACATAGGATAAGTGGGTGGTAAACGACAGAGGTCGGAGGTGAGACGATTTCAGATGAGCTATAGCATTCACTTG